CTTTCACCACCTCATTTGAAGAAGCCATGAGAAGCGCCCACTCATCCAAGTGGTTTGAAACCATGGAAGATGAAATAAAATCAATGAAAACCAACGGAGTTTGGAAATTAGAAACAATTCCTAAAGGAGCTAAGACAGTAGGCTGTAAATGGGTCTACAAAATTAAACATGACTCCAAAGGGAATATAGAAAGGTTTAAAGCGCGACTTGTGCGAAAGGTTTCATGCAAAGAGAAGGCATAGATTACAATGAGATATTTTCTCTAGTCTCATATAAGGATTCTTTTAGAATCATAATGGTGCTTATAGCACATTACGACTTAGAATTACATCAGATGGATGTAAAGACGGTGTTCCTAAACGGAGATTTGGAGAAAAACGTTTACATGGCACAACCAAAAGGTTTGTTGTGGAAGGAAAAGAACGCATGGGATGCCATCTGAAGAAATTCATTTATGGATTAAAGCAAGCTTCAAGACAGTGGTATTTGAAGTTCGATAGTATAAAAAAAGTTTGGGTTTCAAGAAAATATAGAGGACAATTGTGTTTATGCAAAGTTCAAGAATGGAAAATATATTTTCCTAGTCTTGTATGTGGATGACATCTTGCTCGCTAGCAGTGATGTCAATCTACTACTAGAAATAAAGAAGTTCTTGTTCTCAAAGTTTGATATGAAGGATCTCGGTGAAGCTTCGTTCGTCCTAGGAATAGAGATTCACTAAGATAGAGAAAAGGAGGTTTTAGGATTATCACAAAAGGCATACTTAGAAATTTTTTTAAAGAAATATAGTATGCAAAATTGTAAGTCATCACCTGCTCCCATAGTCAAGGGCGACAGATATGGTGAATTTCAATGTTCTAGGAACCAATATGAGATCGATCAAATGAAAGCGGTTCCATATAGTTCAGCTGTTGGAAGTTTACAGTATGCTCAAGTGTGTACTCGCCCTAACTTAGCGTTTGTTACCGGGTTGCTTGGCAGATATCAGAGTAATCCAGAAATAGAACACTGGAAATTAGTAAAGAAAGTTTTGCGTTACCGGTCTCATGTTAACGTACAGAAGATCTGATTCCCTGCACATAGAGGGGTATACAGATTCTGATTATGCGGGAGATGAAAGAAAGTCCACGTCAGGATACATATTCACTCTCGCGGAAAGAGCTATATCGTGGAAAAGTTCAAAGCAAACCGTCACTACATCGTCCATAATGTATGCCGAGTATATAGCATGTTATGAGGCCACAGGGCAGGTGAATTGGCTAAAAAAATTCATGCCTGGGTTGAAAGTGGTAGATGATATACATAAACCACTCAAGTTATACTGCGATAACAATCCAGTAGTATGTTATGCTCACAACAATAAGTGAAGTGGTGCTGTCAAACACATTGACATAAAGTATTATGTTGTGAAAGACAAAGTCCGGGATCATATAATTAGTCTTGAGCATATAAGAACAGAAAAGATGCTCGCGGATCCGCTTATAAAAGGCTTACTACCCAGCGTGTTCAGATAACACTTAGCCGGCATGGGTTTAAGAGAAAGCATATGATTCCTAGACAATAAAGGCCTAGCTAAGAATCTGTTTCAAAACAAAGAGGTGAATTGTAGCTGTTTAATCTAATGGCAAGAGACCGTGACGATGAGGCACACTCTATGCACTGATCTGTGATGAAATGGGAACAAGAGAAAGTAAGTAAGTTAAGTTTAAGTTATAAGTGAGATCAAGGAAGAGAATGTTAATTGATCTCCACCAATTGGCCCTTGGATCCACGCCCTGATCGGGGCGCCCAACCCTAATATGGTTGGTGGGCCCCCATCGCATAGCGCCATAAATAAGAGGTGGGGGCCGAGGCGCCTAGCATGAGGTTTGCCTGAGCCGCCTAGCACTCCACCTATAGTCCTAAACCCTAACCGATCACAGAGGGGCGCTGCCAACGACGGAAAGCACCACCACCGGCCAACGCCGCCCTTCAACTCAGCACCGTCACCGGATCTTCACCGAGCACTCCGATGGCGAGCCCATCTTCCTCGAAGGCGGCCGATGATTTGCACCCCCTTCACTCTCTCTCTCTCTCACTCTATCTATTAATCCAGTACTAGTAGATAGTTCTAGGACTCATGATTTTTTCAAAGTGCAAGTAGACATTCTAGATTTATGCCTAGAGATCCTGCTTTAACTCTATGAAAGCGACCTTGCGCCCACAAACACCAACAAGATGATGCGAGCAAAAACGCTTGAAGCCTACTCTGCTCTGCGAAATGCGCAGTGTGTCCTCTTCACATCTTTCTACGAGCTCGAGAGCGACGCCATCGACGCCCTCAGGCATGAACTGCCATGCCCGGTGTACGCAGTAGGCCCTTGCATCCCCTTCATGTCACTCCAAGTCCAAGAACACCATGCCGACGCGGCGGAAAGAGTAGGCTACACAGCTTAGCTAGACTCACAACCAGTGGGCTCGGTGCTCTACGTCTCGCTTGGCAGCTTCCTCTCAGTGTCATCCGCCTAGCTCGTTGAGATCGCCGTCGGCCTAGCCAAGAGCAAGGCCAGGTTCCTCTGGGCTCTCCGCGACGCTGCCGCGCGCTCCCACGTGCGAGGCCTCATCGATGGACGCGACGCCGGCGTCATCGTGCCGTGGACCGATCAGCTGAGGGTGCTCTGCCACCCTTCGGTCGGTGGGTTCTTCACCCACTGCGGCATGAACTCTACGCTCGAGGCAGTCTACGCCGGCGTCATCGTGCCGTGGACCGATCAGCTGCGGGTGCTCTGCCACCCTTCGGTCGGCGGGTTCTTCACACTGCGGCATGAACTCTACGCTCGAGGCAGTCTACGCCGGCGTGCCCATGCTGACCCTGCCTATAGCGTTCGACCAGCCGGTCAACAGCCGGCTTGTCGTCGAGGTGTGGAAGACTGGGCTTAGTCTCAGGGAGAAGGCACGGGCCGACGGCGTCGTAGAAAGAGAGGAGATCGCCGCGGCAGTGGACAGGCTCATGCGTCGCGACACGGTGGAGGCCGAGGACAGGTTGAGGAAAGCCGCGCTGCTGAAGGATGCGGCTCGCGCTGCGTGTGAAGAGGGTGGATCCTCGTGGAACGATGTCACGTCTTTCGTCGAGTTCATTTCGGAGTGAGATCAGCTATAAAAAGTCGTTGATTCTTAGTGACCAGTGAGTCAGTGTGATCTCTGAATGTTTACACAGAATGATAGGAACTTCAGAGTAGCAGTTTCACCGAAATATCCATGTACTGTCAAATACAATCTCAACTCAGCCCGGACCAAACACGCGAGGTTGTACCGTAGGAGCCCGGCTTAAACAGGCTAGCCGACCGTGCCGGACAGGACTAGGGAAATAAATAGAAGAGTTACCATTAATTTATAATTTTTATCTCTTTATTGGCCCCGTTCGTTTGTCTGGAAAAAAGAAGCCAAAATACGGCTGGTTGTGTAAGAGAGAAATACTGTAGCGGATGGTTGATGAATAGTACCCCTGTAAGGAGGAACCAGCCGGCTGGTCTGAAAACCAGACCAGCGAACTGGCCCGTTGTCGTCACCGTTACATATATGGGTTTTTGTTTCCTTAACTGGCCCCGTTCGCTTGTCTTAAATTTGGCTTGTTCGGCTTGTTTTTTTAGCCGGAACAGTGTTTTTCTCTCACAACAATTCAGCCGGAACAGTGTTTTTCAGCCAGTTTCAGCCAAAGTTCAGACCCGCGAACAGGGCCACTGTAATCTATTTAGATAATTTGTTTCCTTAATTGTCATTGACGGAAGGAATGCTCTTTAAGGAATGCCATTGTTTCCTTAACTGCCGCCGTGCCCTTAAGGAATGCTCAATGGCAATTAAGGAATCAAATTATCTAAACAACTGACAGTTAAGAGAGCAAACCCCACATATGTAGCAGTAATGGCAACTCAGAAAAAACTAACTTTGTACTGCTATGTTCAAAACTTTGAACTATCACATTATAAACTTTGCACTACTAGGTTCAAAACTCTATACTCATCAGGATTTATAAACATTCAACTATGGCATTACAAACTTTGTACTTTCAAAACTTTGAACTATCACATTATAAACTTTGCACTGCTAGATTCAAAACTTTACACTTAGAATTTATAAACTTTCAACTATGACATTATAAACTTTTGTGTGGCTAGATTCAAAACTTTACACTCAGGATTCATAAACTTTTAAACTATTGACTTTTACAAACTTTGTACTTTCAAAGCTTTGAACTGTAACCTTATAAACTTTGTATGGTAAGGTTCAAAACTCAAACGTAAAATTCAACAGATATAAAGTCAACAAAACTGTCGACAGATTTATGTGTATTATCTCTCCGATTTTCTTTCGGTGAGCTGTCTTTCTATTTTGATTGGCCACAAATCTGACAGATTTGTTGTTGTCAAATCTGACAACCGGTGTACAGAGTCACCCAAAAAAATACAAATTGATGGAATTATGGAAGTTAAGAAATATTATAATTTTTAATGGCAACCAAAGAATCATTGTAAGCGATGGCAACGAGGCCTTGTTTAGATTGCCTCAAAATTCTAAGTTTTTTCACTCTCTTTCATTACATCAATTTTTGGACGCATGCATAAAGCATTAAATGTAAGTAAAAAAATAACTAATTATACAATTTGGTTGTAAATTACGAGACGAATCTTTTAAATCTAGTTAGTCTACGATCGAACAACAAACGAAACGAACTGCCGTGTCCTAAACCAGGCCCGAGTCTCGATAAACAGCCCCAAGATAGGCGGCGGACAGGAAAATTTTGGAGTTTTTCCCTGATCCAAATTGGGCTGAAGTTTCCAAAGCCCGGCTGAAAACCCTGTTCCGACTTCGACCTTGGCCACCTGCCCACCTGACCAGACCACCTCGTACACATCGGCAGGCATCGCGTCGCGCCCGCCGCCTCTTCCCCTGCCCTGCTTCAACTTCAAAACAGCACGCGCTTCCGCCCCCCTCCCTCCCTGCTCCCCTCCTCTTCCCCGCCGATGGAACCCGCGGCCATGTCGAGATCCCCGTGCTCTATCATCTCGCCGGCCTCCATATCGACCGGCCCGCTTCTCCCCGTACGCCTCGCCGTCCGGCCCCGCCGCCGCGCGCCTGCTTTCGTCGCGCCCTCTGGCAGGCCGCTCGTCGCGCGGCGCGCCGCGGCCGGAGAGAAGTTCGAGGCCGAGACGCCCATAGAGAAAAGTCGGTGACTATACTTCCGCTTCTCCTTGCTATGCCTGTCGTTTCATTTGTATTTGTGTTGTGTGTTTGCTGTTGCTTTTCGGACATGTTTGATATTGATGCTTGTGCTTACTGGGGCGGTGTGATCCCCTTTCAGGATTCCCTGCCTTCCCAACTTTCATGGACATCAACCAGATCCGTGACATCCTGCCACATAGGTGAGTCACTTATTGTGGGTGCTATTTGTTCATTTGTTCATGTGGCTTACTATGTGCCTAGATTTGCTTAGCAGATGTCTAAAAATGTGTGAAATGCAGGTACAGAACTTCTTAATCAGAACTTTAGGGCTTTGCCAGTAAAAAATGCATGACGTGTATGTTGTAAACGGCTGTTAGATTTTTTAGCCTAAGAATTAAATTCTGATCATGTGATTTGCTTGTATATTGTATTGCTTTGAATTTATAACGAACTTCCTACCTATGAAGCTGACTATTTGTCTGACTTCCCTCCTCTGATGGATTCACCCCTGTTATTTTGATTTGAGTTAATGTCTTTACCAGTCATGTGGATTGTGGAAATGAAATAAATAAATAACTCTGCACCACTGTCATAAAAAGGATAATCATTAACATTTCTTAAAAAATAGTTATGACCAAATGGCACCCTTTCTGGCTTCGGTTGTAAGTGTGTTTTTGACCAATGCTCTAAAGAAAACCTTTCAGAGCTGTGTATGTGCATATGGAAATGTTCAAGTTAGCCTAGCTACTGCACATTTCAAGCCTTCTAAGTTTCTTTTTGAACAGTGAATGCCATTAAATTTTTAGGCTAACCATGTATATATTTAGTCATACAGAAGTGATGCAACTAGATTTTTTTATTTCAAGTTCTTATGGTCATGATTCTTTTATTAGTAAAATTATCATACAAGAGATATTTGTAGTCAAGTTTCAATTTGGAAGACCATACCAAGTCAAGTTGCACCTTGTAAAATTGAACGTACTACGTGCTTTTTTGTGTATTTCCTAGCCATAATGATGATGCTTCATAGGTTAATGAGTAGTCGGGTGCTTCTTGGTTGCCATAGTATTCAAATAAATGGAGTCTAGTAATTTTATCTACTAAACTTGTTTACTGACTCCCTCTAATCTAGCCACAGAACTCTAAGAAACCTTGTTACTATATCACAAAAGCAAAGGAAATCATATAGGATCACTTTTATCATATACATATGCATATAAAGATCAGTCAATGGAAGATCCTGCTGCCACCAGCCACCACCACTATTTTTTGTTTCTGTAAGTAGTGAAGATACTCAACTTTCCAGTTTTTTGTGTTTAAGTGCCTCTATTCTTTGTTGATATGCATGTAGGTTCCCGTTCCTTCTGGTTGACAGAGTTATTGATTACAAACCAGGAGAATATGCTGTTGCAATCAAGAATGTGACAATAAACGATAACTTCTTCCCAGGGCATTTCCCTGAACGGCCCATAATGCCTGGTGTTCTCATGGTTGAGGTATATAATATTCTCGTTATTTTTTCCTTTTTTGATACCTATATTACCTACTGAGATGCAATTGTTTCATCATTATTGACGTGTAGATTAAATTGGTGTTGCATCACGATACATTTTTCTGAAACTATACTGGTTGAAATCTTAGAGTGCCACTCTTTTTGGTCTAATTCAGAACAAATTTAGTTGAATTCACCATTCGCATGTGTACTATGAATTGATGAATGCTAGACCATTGGTGCTGGATCTTGTCATTCAGTAGCTCTATTCCAGCATTTTCATACCTTTTAAAAGTGAAGCTACTGATGTCAATCAAACACGTAGTTTCAGATTGTTGCAGAATGAATAAACGGACATAGACAATCAACTGCAAGTTATACTTGTAAGGGATCAGTATGCATGACTCAGGTCTTTGTGTTTACATATAGGATGTAAGCTAAGGTAGCAAGTATGGTAATTCTGCTGCTTGATGCATTTTGGAATAACAATAGAATAGAAGGTCCAATTTTGATATACATGTTTATGTATGCAGCATCTGTTCTGCTCCGTGTTTCTTCTGAAGACATTACAGCTGCTTATTGTCTCAAACAAACAGCTTTCTGATTAATTGGTATGAGACAATTGTTTACCATGATTTGCAGGCAATGGCCCAGGTTGGAGGAATAGTGATGTTGCAGCCTGAAGTAGGTGGATCTCGAGAGAACTTTTTTTTTGCAGGGATTGATAAAGTGAGGTTTCGGAAGCCTGTGATTGCTGGAGACACCTTGATCATGAGAATGACTCTGATCAAGCTGCAGAAGAGATTCGGAATTGCAAAGATGGAAGGGAAAGCTTACGTTGGTGCCGACCTAGTGTGCGAAGGAGAGTTCTTGATGGCTACTGGATCAGAGTGAAGGCTGGAGACGCATCAATGCTGGATCAGAGTGAAGGCAGGAGACCTAGTATTGCAGTTTTTAGTGTGAATCATCTTTCCAGCTTAAGTTTTAACTGTCTCTGTAATAGCGATGTATTGTCTTTGCCTTCTAGTCTTGGTCGAGTGCCGTAAGATCAAAATCGGACATGGTAAACAAATTTTGTTAAGAAGAAATATGAGTAACAGGGCCCTAAGGTTACAACTACTGTCGATGGAACAAATAGAAACTCATTCGTTGCCCTTGCCGTTGTGGGAGATTAAGGCACCTTTGGATGGAACATTAGAAACTCGCTCCTTGCCCTTGCCGTTGTGGGAGATTAAGGCATCTTTGTAAAGCGTGAAACATTTTTTTTTCCTGTTTCCCATGTTTTGCCTTTGAAAATAAATTGATTCTGTGAAATTAATATGTTCCAAAGGGGTCCTAAACAGAGGGGGCGTAACCCCTTGTTGGTTGTCCGTTGGTGTGAGGAATCACTCTTTTCTCTTGCCAGCCAGTTTTCTGTCCCAGTCCCAACGTACAGTAAGCACCTCTAAAATTCTCGTTAGTTACATGGAAGAAAGGCTAATCATATAAATTTTGGGTTGCTTTGAGTCGTGTTGGTAAGGTAACATACAGTAAGCCCCTCTAAATCGTCATCCATTTTTAGAGGATTACATGGAAATTAAAGCATGAGCATCTCCAGTAGTAGGAGAATACTCCAACACCGAAAACTAATTATTGGAAGAGATACAAAACGTATTTTGGCATTTCAAAGGTCTTCTCTCCAGCAGAATGAGAAAATCCAATCCCCAATGAGAAAAATAGTGGATTGGGGAGGAGAGGTCTCCCCTTTATTTGAGGAGTGGGAGGCTATGATTTGAGGGACTGAGAATTTTTTTTTCCTCGTTAGGGTTGGGTTTGGGAAATTGCTAATAACAGTTTTTTTTCTCATTCGGGGTTAGAAAAGGGGACTGTCGTCTACTTAGCTACAACAAGATCATCTGGGATGCTTCATTTTCTTCTTCTTTTTTCATCAAGCGGAACTTTCGACACTGAAAGAAGCATTTGAGTACCTAAATGATGGACGTATGATGATTAAAAGGTCAATAACTGTAATCACTTGCAATGAAGCTCATAAATGATGTATGGTTTTATGCAAAGCAATTTTCGTACTGAACAATTCTGTATGCTCAGTTGTTGTCAAGCTAGCTTTACTTGCCTCAAGCTTATCGACTTGATGAACAAATATAGTATATGCTATACGTCCGGATCCTAAAACTGATCTGAGCTCACGGTGGTTGCGACAATGGGACTTCTGACGGTGTACTTGCCCGCGTCGTCCACCCACGTCAACGCACCATGCAACACATCTCCGCTCTTGTTCGTCATCTTCCCCCGGATCACAAGCGTGTACTTCTGCTTCTCGTTCTTGCCGCCGAAGGCCAACTTGTCCGGACTCACGGTCACCGTCAAGCCGCTCAAGCCCGTAACTTTGGCGCTGTAGCTCGCAGGCCCGTCGCCGACGTTGATCACGGTCCTAGTGAACGTGCGCTCGACGGCCCCGCCGTTGGCGTCGAAGAACGCTATGAAGGACGGGTAGTTGAGGTCGAGGGACGCGCCGGTGCAGTCAACAGCGTACGACGGCGACTGCGCGACGGTCCTGATCTGCGCGGCGGTGTAGTTCATGGCGCACATGAGCTTGACGTAGTCCCCCGGCGCGGCGTCGTAGACCAGGCCCGGGTCCACGGCGCGGGTGGGGTCGATGTGGCCCGAGCCCATCGCCAGCGGCGACGCGGGGTGGTTGCGGTTGCCCATGTCCTTGATGGACGCCCCGGTGTTGTCCAGCGCGCTGGCCGTCGTCATCATCGCCGACCGGACCATGGCCGGGCTCCACTCCGGGTGCACGGCCTTGAGCAGCGCGGCCACCCCGGCCGCGTGTGGGCACGCCATGGACGTGCCGGAGATGATGTTGAACTTGCTGTACAACTGCGTTGATCCGACGAAGGCTACGCTGATGTTCTCCGCCCACGAGGCCAGTATCAGCGAGCCCGGCGCCATCAGGTCTGGCTTGAGGACCGTCGGGCAGCTCCCCGACGGGCCGCGCGACGAGTACGCCGCCACCATCGGCGCCGGCTTCGTTCCCAGGATGGTCACCTCGAACTTGATCGCCGCCTTGGGCGCGCGGCTGCTTCGTATGTACTGGAGCAGCAGGGGCCCATCTTGCGGGCTCAGGATGACGCCCGGGAACGAGAATGACTCATAGAGCACCTTGATGGAGTCGTTGGACAGGAACAAGCCCGCGCGCACTTGGGCCAGTTCCAATGCAGAGACGGCGTCGCCCAGGGAGGCGGTGGCGTCGCAAAGGACGACCTTGTCGCGGTTCTTGGAGAGCAACGTGAAGTTGTCGCACGCGTCGAGGAAGACGAGCGTGGTGGCCGCGAGCGCGATCGGGCTGCCCGGGTACAGTGATTCGCCGATGACGGTGGTGCCGTCGCCGAGGGTCACGACGCCCGAGAACTCCCGGTCCACCGTACCCGACGCGACGGTAAGCGTCCACGGCGTGCCATTGTGGAGGAATCCGAGGTCGGGGCCTTCGTTGCCCGCGGAGGTCGACACGAACACGCCCCGCTGCATCGCGGCGAACGCGCCGATGGCGATGGGGTCCTGGTACAGCGGCTGGTCGTCAAAACCGAGGGAGAGGGAGATGACGTCGACGCCATCCGCGATGGCCTGGTCGATGGCGGCGAGTACGTCGGACGGGTACGTGCCCTCGTCCCAGAGCGCCTTGTACATGGCCACCCTAGCGCGCGGCGCCATGCCGCGCGCGGTGCCCGGAGCGTAGCCAAAGAAGGACGCGCCGGGCACCGGCGAGCCGGCGGCCGTGGACGAGGTGTGCGTGCCGTGGCCATCGGTGTCGCGCGGGGAGTTGACAGAGATGGTCACGTTCTCGTTGGCGACGAGTCCCTTGTTGAACTTGCGCGCGCCGATGAGCTTCCGGTTGCACGCCTTGGCGCCATCGAACGCCGTGCCGGACTCGCAGACGCCCTTCCACCGCGCGGGCACCGGCGCGAGCCCGCCGCCGCCGTCGTCGCGGAAGCTGGCGCTCTCGGGCCACACGCCGGTGTCCACCACGCCCACGATGACGCCGTCCCCGTACCCGGCCTTCTCCCACAGTCCCCCCGGCGCCGCGCTGACGCCGAGGAACTCGGGCGTGTGCGTCGTGTCGCGGCGCACCACCCTGGCGTCGTCGGGGTAGCACGACACGAACCCGCGGGAGCGCCTGAGCGCCTCCAGCTCGTCGCCCCGCAGCCGCGCCGCGAACCCGTGCGCCGCGTGGTCGTACACGTAGTACATGTCCGCGCCCGGCGCAGCCGCGGACAGCGTGGACTCGTACCACCGCTGGTGGCTCGCGAACGCCCGAGGCATGGCCGACTTGTCCATGTGCACAATGTACGCCGTCGCCGTCGCCGCCGCCGCCGACGCGACCGGCGCGCACAGCGTCGCGAAGGCGAAGGCGAAGCTTGCCAACGCCAACAGCGACGGCCACGCCATGCAGCGGAGCGTGACTACGATGGCCGCCATTCCGTCCGGCACACGATTGTGAGACGCGCTGCCACGGCGTGCACCGGACCGGCTGCTATTTAACGATGGGGACATGCCAGTATGCCACGTAAGACGTGGTTACATTGTGCATAATGGATGCTCTCAATAGTTTGACGATGGACCGTACCGGATCGATCCGGTGGTTGCATAGTCCCTGTTGGGGAACAGCCCGGCGCGGCGGAATGGGCACCGTGTCGCGCGCTTCGGCTTCGGCCATCGGGCGAATTGCGATTTGCGAGCCGAGGCACGCGGTGGGAGCTGGACGATGTGTCGTGTACTGCTGTACCCCGCAACTGCGTGCTGCAACTTTACATGCGTATGGCTATATGATAGCGTATGGTGCAGCTACCGTCGTGCATTGCTTGCTATGTCTTTGGCATGTTCCTATGATCAGAAAGCAACAAACCTTGATAATTTAGTGATGATTCTACTGGAGAGTTGCCTAGTCTTGACAACACGAACGAACAAAATAGCGGCGATGGAACATGGAATAAGCTCGTAAGTCGTAACTGACTAACTGTGATTATCGAAATCGAACAATGTCCGGGTGGACAACTTGTACAGCAGGTCGATCGTTGAGTGGAGTGTGCACTCGTCATGAACTTCCTAAAAAGAAAAGAACACAGTCTAGTCCTACAGCTACAGGAATTACACGTAGGAATCTATAAAGACTTGGGGATACAAAGCACTGTCCTCGTGGGCTGTCGGTGGTTCAGATATGTTCAGCTAAAATTGTGGCCCCGTTCGCTTCGCTGAAAAAATAATCCGAAACACTGTTCCGGTTGATTTGTTGTGAGAGAAAAACACTGTTTCGGCTGAAAAAACAAGTTGAAAAAGATAGATTATAAGAAAAGCGAACATAACAACATGCATGGATCCCATCTAAGCTAGCAGGCTAACTGGCAAGTGGATACAACGTGACGGTCAAACCTAACCAAAGCCGAGAGGAGCCCGAGCAAACAAGTCCTTACTACTACTTTTATATATATTACTAAATTGATATGATATATATTACTCTCTTCATCCATAAAAAAATATAATAATAGGATCCGTGCTAGTCAAACTAGTTTAAGTTTGACCAAGTTTATAGTAAATAGTATTAGTTTTATGTCTACAAATAAATTTATTGTGAAAATATATTATATAACATATCTAATGGTATTTATTTTATATCACAAATGTTAGTGCTTTTTATATAAAATTTAGTCGAAGTTTAAATTTGACTCTTCGAAAAGTGAAAATTATATTTTTGTTTTCCGGAGGGAGTACTAAATTGGTAGCACAGTAGCAGTGACATATTGGCAATTTGGCACTTTGTGTTTATGGGCACCAACGACCAATGCAACGACGTAACCGTACCAGTACGTTGATGTCGGTGTGTGTGCACCGGAAGCACTATCTAAGCTCCCGGATTAAAGTCGTAAAGGAAGCACAAGCACATGTACTCGCCTACTGCCTAGTTGAGTCGAGTCAGTCCGCCATTAGTCAACTCATGCTAATAAGTACTAGTTTGACACTTGTCAAATTAAAGTAGTTTATGTTGCTTGATGCTGGAACATCTATGTAAAATGCATGGATCCAGTACCGAAAAGAAAGAGAGGGGTCAGTCAGATTGTCACTTCATCTCAACGGCCGTCGTGGTCTGACGAGAGATTAAGACAACCCATGTTCATACTATCGAGGACTAACCATGTTCGCTTCTCTTATAACCTTGTTAGAATTCCGACGACACCAGACAGCGATGGCCAACCGATAGAATTGGATGCATGGTTAGTCCTTGATAGTACGTACTTGATGCTCCCGCGACTGCCGATCGATTGGCCGCATGCGTGCCAGGTCAAGTAGTTAGTGAGTAGCATTCCCTCGCCGTGGCATCACCTGCATTCACTGCTGAAACTGAAACAAAACGGACAACGAGCACATCCAACGAAGCAGCGCACGCATGGCCATGGCATCGCGTATGCGCACAAGGATTGAATCGACGGCGGCGATGGATACTAATCGCCAATAATTAGACCCCCAAAGCGCAAATCCAAAGGAGGGACGGTAGGGCAGAACAAGCGATGTGATCGATTTCTCGTGGCCACTGGCTGGCTCCGCACTGCGCTGCTGGTGGCTAGCTTTGGCTGCCTACCGCTTGGCACTTCAGTGCGTGGGCGCTAGGTGGGTGCTTCAGTGCGTGGGGTGTGTGACTGTGGGACGTTACGTTGTGACCTGTGATGCTCACGAAACAGAGCGCCCGCAATCACTGGCCACGGCTGCGCGCGGGCGAGCCTTTCCCGTCGTTTGACCGGCGCCAAGACAGATCGCGCGCACTGCACAGTGGAGGAGGCCGGGCCGCCGCTGTGCGATGGTGGCGTCGATCGGTGTGGGTGCGGTGCGCATCGCGGTGCAACCACGATGGCTGGTGCGCCCCGGCGTCCCGTCACGGTGCCGACCGGTGCGGCCACTGCAACGTTGCTGCTGCAGCATTTGCCGCGCGCGCACGGCACATGTCCGTCGTGCGGCCGAGACATCTTTGGCTGCACTGTCATGGCATGGGTCCGAGTTTGACTGTGCTATAAAACATGTTGTCAACGGTTATGATCTTTCTCTCTCCGTCTCTCATGATGAACACAGTAGGTAAAAGTAGAAGAACAAATAGACATAAGATAAGGTGACTATTCTTTATTTCTCTGAATATTGGTCATTACAACATAGAGCTCTCACGTATATATAGTTCTGTCAAGACCTAAGAGTTTGGTAAGAAGCCCATATACAAACAAAATAGGATTATGATTCATCATTCTTCTTTTCTTGTAGGATAGAGTATATATGTTTTACAACATTCCTCCTTGGACGATTACCATGATATGCACGTGCCTCGTTATGAGGGGTACGACCTCGGATACCCACGGCAGACCACATGGGCTGCGCCCCAGGGACGGCCTAGCCCACAAGACAAAGCCTTGCGGGGCACGGCGCTGCTCGGCGCGTCCCGCAAGACACCGAAAAGATATCATGAAGATACTACGAGATCTGTTAGGATACGTATTATCCCATAATTTATGTAATCTGTTATTACTTTTCAGTTATCTTCTAAATCTAACCGACTTATAACCCTACCTCCGGACTATATAAGGCGGGCAGGGACCCCCTTCAAACACACGCAATATCATACGATAGCCAATACAATCCAACAGACCACAGGAGTAGGGTATTACGTCGTGCTGATGGCCCGAACTTGACTAACTCATGTGTCTCTGTTGCCTTCTTGTTCTCGATTACACGCATCTCTGCCGATCAATTTACCTTCGTGGGATAACACTCGGAGGACTGCCGACGATATTCTGTCGACAGTTGGCGCGCCAGATAGGGGTGTGCGTGCTATTTCCATGTCGAACAAGATGGTACGTTTTGCAGGCTCTTCATCCCTCCCACAGCTCGGCCAGATCTTCACGGTCGGATCGATCTCCTAGATCATCAACGCTAACGGAGTCGGAGAGCTCATTGAGCCGGTGTAGATCAATACTGCGCCGAACACCCCAACACCTGCGACTGCAGATCTGATCTCGGAACCGTCTCCGAGGTCGCTTTCGCCGATAATTCGCCGCTTGCTCCCCCGCTACCCAAGAAGGCAAATCAACAGCGACGATCTGATCGCATCCATCGATCAGGTTGGCCAGAAGCTTACCGATTGTCTCTCCATCGCAGAATCGGCTCTGACCACTCTGGTCCAGCACCGTCCACCCTCCGATTCAGGTCTATCGGAGGTGGATAAGTAAACTCTAGAGGTTACGGCCCTACCCTTCAGGCTCACCAGCGTCGTCGCCGCCTATCAAGATGTCCTAAGGGGCAAATTCACCGACCAGGTGGGAGATATCCATCCTCTCGCCGACCAGATCACCGACCAGCTCTCGCCGACTATCAACATGCTACACGTCGCTCGACGCCCCGAAGCATCCCTCCAAACCATCCTAGAAGAAAATCCAGACTCCGAGTCCCAAGGGCTCTACGGAGACTGTCGCCGAAACCACCGCTGAACAACCTCCTTTCCCTCTCTTCCGTGGAGGAGGAATTTTCAACGTCAGCGTCGACAGCCCCCTATGGGAAGGGGAAACCGAGGAGGACCGCACCGCCCGCGTCAATAGGAACGTCAACTGTGCCCAGCGCCGAGCAAATGAAGCTGCCCTTGTGCTAGCCGAGGCTGCTCACAACGATCAGCTCGACTCACAAGGAAGGCCACGCCAACTCAACGCAACCTCGACGATGAATTTGTCCGTGTTGATGGCCACGACGTCTATAAGACCCCAAGCACCAACTTGGCTATGGCCACCAATAAGCTCGCCCGGCTCCCGCAGACACCGGAGGTCGCCAAGGTCACCACCATGCTTAAAGCGGCACACTGCCAGGTCAACGAGATCCACCAGGATCAGAGACCTTCCTACCCGATGAGCTCGATTCGCTGATCTGTCGCACCAAGATCTAATCGCCGCCCCAGCCAAAGTTGTTTTGCCAACCAGCACCGTGATGATAGACAACCTCTCTAGGGGGGAGCTAGGGGCAACCGCGTCGACCACCCTCGCCAACACGACCAGGAAGTCGACCAGGACGTCCGAGCGCACCTCAACAATCTCTGAGACGCGCGATGATATATCGATGAGCGCCGTTTCTCTCTCCATGAATTAGAGGTACGCCGCCGTCAAAAATATGAGCAAGAGGTCGGTAATCCGGACTCAGCCCTCCAGCCACTTAATGCCAACAACGCCGCAGATCACGACGGTGATGATCCCGAAGGGCCCCGAGCATTCACGAGGGCACTCCGAACACTCCAGTGGCCCCGTGGTTTCAAAATCACCGGGGTCGAGCCCTACGAAGGACGGATAAACCCCACACAGTGGCTACAAGCTTATGCCACTTCTGTGCACGCTGTCGGAGGAGATACCAGCGTCATGGCGAACTATCTTCCCATCATGCTCACGTCAACTACGATGAACTGG